CCATGCCCCCAGGGATATTTGGCAACATCTGCCGAGATTTTTGGTTGTCACAAGTGGGGGATGTGATTGGCATCTAGTGGGTAGATTGGCATCTAGTGGTGTCTAGTGGGTAGAGGCAGGGGATGCTGCTAAGTGTCCATTAATGCACAGGATGGTCCCCACAACAAAGTACTATCTGCCCCCAAATGTCGGTAGTGTCAAGGCTGAGGAGTCTGCTCTATGCTATGCTCCCGAGTCAGAAAGTTACATGAGGACTTAGCACTTAGTGCTCCATGGAAGGTAGACATTGTTGTGGTTGTTGTTATTATTACCTTTTGTCTCTATGGCTGGGGGTTCCTGTGGCTTCCAGGGAAGCTGAGTTCCCTTGGCATCACACCCACACTGTGATCAAGAACCCCGTCTCTAGGCCGAACATGGTGGCTCACGCCTGTAATCCCAACACTTTGGGAGGCCAAGGTGGAAGGATCGCTTGGGTCCTGGAATTCAAGACCAGCCAGAGCAACATGGTGGAATCCTGTCTCTACAAAAAAAATACAAAAATTAGCCAGGCATGGTGGCATGCACCTGTGGTCCCAGCCACTTGGGAAGCTGAAGTAGGAAGATTAGATTACTTCAGCCTGGGAGATTGAGGCTGCAGTGAGCTGAGATTGCGCCACTGCACTCCAGCCTGGGTGACAGAACGAGACCCTGTCTCAAAAAAAAAAAAAAAAAAGAAAAAGAACTTGGTCTCTGGCATCCATTAGAGCATCATACGTAGCATTCAGCAATGATTTATTGAGCATCTGCTGCTACATGACAATCCTATTCCAGGCAGCACAGACACATGGAGGTGCCCCTGCCCCTATGCAGCAGCCTGGTTGAGAGACAACTTTAGACAAGGAAGCACACAAGCTCAGAGACAATAAGATGTTATAATGCACACCATGAAGTGAAAGACCTGGGTGCCACGAGAGAGAAGAAGAGGGAAGACCCTGATAGGGTTGGGGGCCAGGAGGACTTCTCTGAGGGTGTGACATTTAAGCTGAGCCCTGAGGCTGGAGGAAGGAAGAGCACTGTAGGCGGAGAGAAGAGCCGTGCCAAGGCCCTGAGCGGGGAACCGAAAACCGAAACCAGGCAGTGGAGGGGAGACTAGTTAGGGAGGAAGAGAGGAGTAGAGTGTTATGACCTGGGAAATGTGAGCGGGTAGAGGCCACATTAAGGAGTTGGGTCATTGACCGATAAAAGCCCTGGAAGGATTTTAATCAGAGCAGGCCTGCCCTTCAGAAAGTGGCTCTTGAGGTCCAGGCACAGCCCTGTGTGGAAGATAATGTGTGAGGCTGAAACCCAGAGTGTGTGTCATCATCTGGGAACAACTCTGCAGAGGTGAGGTTTGTCACAGTTACACAACCTTAACTAATGCACCTTCCTCCCCGCAAACTCTAAGCTGGTTGTGAAACGTGGCAATGGAGCATTTTGCATATGTTACAAAATTATTGTTAATGCTCATTCATTTTTTGGACAAAGACCAGCCATCAGTCACTGGAAACACCTATTTGGATCACGAGGCTTGTCCTCTGCCAGGAGTGAGCACTTTCCTGAAGGCTTCTTGTTTCTTCTTGCTGCTTTTGGGTGACTCAGCCCATGACATTTTGCTCCTCCTGAAATCTCCATATCTTGCCTTTCTCAAATTCCAAGGTAGCCTTTGCGCAACATATCAGTCTCCACTGACTCCTGTCCCATCAGGGCCCGTAGTGGACGGCTGTATGGGGGCCATGTGTCTGAACTCCTGATGCTCATTTCAGCCCATTCATGTGACATGCACGGAGCTCTTCAGCAGGGACTTACTGACCAGGACAAGAGCTTGAGGCTTTGAGGGGATCTGATTGTCACTGCACAATCAAGGACAGTATTCCCAAAAGTAGATGTTGCTCAAGGTAGTCCAAGGAATTCTATGAAGAAAAGGACTCTGCAGACAATAAATTTTGGACACCCTGTTTCAACACAGTTAAGCGGCTTTTTACAATTACAGGACTTTTCAGAACATTTAATATGCTAATGTGCATTATAAATCTCCAAGAAAGAATGATGCATATTTATCTTTTCTTCCAGGTGCATCTTGGAGACTGGTGTTTGCAAATATATGGAGCAGGAAACTTCATCCCGAGGATGGAGACCCCGGAGCTGTCAGCAGGAGTTAGGCAAGTGCCTCCAAATTCCCAGTTCCCAGCAAGAGAAGCCAACCGAAGGATGAGACAGAGGGTTTCTGCCTTACCAGGGTCGTCCAGTACTGCATGGAGGGGTTGAAGTGAACCTTCTGCAGGTGGGGTCAATGACTCTTGGAGGTAGGGGAAAGCTTCCCTTGACTCAGTTGCACACAAAGACAGAAAACGTGTTTGCGTGGGCATTGTTTTACCTGCTTAAAAGAATGCAAAACTTTTAGCACTTTTTTCTTTATCTCTAATTACTAAAGAAGTACATGTTTTTGCAAAAAAAAAAAAAAAAAAAATCAAACAATACACAAGTATATAGAGTAAAAAGTGGAAGTCCTCCTTTCATCTCCTGCCCCGCATCCCCCCCTGCACCCCCAGTGTTTCATATTAAGGTTTTGATATGCCTGGTTTGGTGGGTGAGAAAGTTAATCTGGAGGCAGCACTCTGAGACTGAATCTCAGCTTTGCCACATGCTAGCTCTGTTTCCTGGGGCCTCAGTTTGCTCATCTCTAAAATAAAGCAGCCATAGGAAGGGCTGGGGGGATATGGAGTGAGATGAAACACAGAAAGCCCTAATGCAGCACCTGCACTTAGTTGGATTCAGTAAAATTTGGCTCTTAGAATTGTGCTTCCAGAATCCAGGCATTTTTTAAAAGGTCCAATTTCATTCCATGGATGTGCTAATTAGAGAATGGGGTTCATCTCTTAATCTGTTCATGTGACTCTTCTTTAAGTCCTCAAGGGCAGTTTCTATATGCAGAAACCACTATTTAGAGGTTTATTTTATTTTTTCAAGTTAATACTCAAATTGTCAAAGCTGGAAATTTAAAAAAAAGTACTTGACTTTCTTTATTCTACACATTAGCTTGTTTTTAATGCTAGGAACTAAGAACTTTTCTAGGACTCTGATGGAATGATTACTATCTTAGAAAATGCCACACCTCTGTAAATATATATACCTACTATGTACCTGCAAAAATTAAAAATAAAAAAATTTGTTAACAGAAAAAAAAGAAAATGCCATGCTTTTAAGGACAGCTTACAAAGATTCTCATTCCTTTTATAAATCCAGCTAGGATTTCCAGATAAAATATAAGTTGTCCAATTAAATACGAACTACCCCAAATTCAAATCTACCTACTGTTCTATGACTTTATTTGTTAAATCTGCCAACCCTAAACCCAACAAACCTGAATAATTACTTATAAGGGGTTTGTGGCCGACTAATAAACATTTTAAACTTTATTTAATATGCCGTATTTTCTTTTAAAATTTCTTCAATTGTCTGAACTAACAAAAAAGCTACCTTTAAAAAATACTAAATCATTTGAATTCTAATAAAGCAAACAAACAAAACACTGACGATAACCCAAAGTGTTTATAAATGTTCCAGAACTGTATTCAGACAAAGATTTCAACGTAAAGTCATGAATCTGAATCAACCCTACCAAGTGCACATTTTATAAGAGAGTTACAAGATTTTCTATATAGTTGGCCAAGCAGCTCTCATAAAGTCCATAAAATATCACATATTCCATCTTAAAACACACAAAAACATTATACCATGGCTCTGAGTCTCTTAAACATTTCTACACTTAATTCTGAATCTTTTTCTGGTTGGAAGATGCCTATTCACTAAGAAAGACAATTAACCATTCCCTAGAACTCCTTATTTATTTATTTATTTATTTATTTATTTACTTTTTGAGATGGAGTCTCACTCTGTCGCCCAGGCTGGAGTGCAGCGGTGTGATCTTGGCTCACTGCAACCTCTGCCTCGCAAGTTCAAGCCATTCTCCTGCCTCAGCCTCCCAAGTAGCTGGGATTACAGGCACCCACCACCATGCCCAGCTAATCTGTGTATTTTTAGTAGAGATAGGGTTTCACCATGTTGGCCAGGCTAGCCTTGAACTCCTGACCTCAAGTGATCCACCCACCTCAGCCTCCCAAAGTGCTGGGGCTACAAGAGTGAGCCATTGCATCTGGCCCAGAGCCACTTTTTACCAGAGATTTAACCAGGCCTGAGGTCTTAGGTTGCAGACAACAGGGAGATTGATTGCAGCACGAACTCAGGAAACCATTTCCTTCCATGTACTATTTGGGGCTATCTTATAGAATTCCTGCCATGCTTGGCCAGGATGCTGCCTGGATGTATGCTGGGGATACATGTACAATTTTCCCCGTGGCTGTGGCCCCAGACCCATCCCCTTAAGAGGGGTTGGTCCACAGATCCCGATGCTGGCTTGGAGTTATTCTTATTCCCTACCCTTTTCACAGAATTGTCTTTGCCAAAATCCATTAATGTATCTTGATTGGATTTTGCATTTTTTTTTTTCTTTACAGACCTTCATAGTTTCCTGCCCAAATCTCTAAATGTCATTTTGCTTGAGTTGATATCCTACAGTTCTTACAAGACCTTTCTCTCCCAGGGTCACACAACTCTCGTCAATATTAAATTAATATCAGCTTGAGTCACGGGTCTTTCCATGGGTTTCACGGGTTATTTGCTCACAGAGTCCAGGGACATTTTCCTCATCCATTCCATCAGATCCCCAGTTGCTTTCTCTGGCAGCACACTGCTAGTATTTGTACAGTAAAACAGTCTAAAAAATTAAGTAATTCAAACTACCCTTGACCTTACTTTACACCACCAGGGCAATTAGAGTCACAGTCTGGGTGTGTCTGAGGACACCAGGCCGCCAAATCCCAGTGATTTAGAGAAAACCCAGCAGAATTTCCCATGCCTCCTGCCTCATTGTCGCCCAGCAGAAGGTTCCGTCACCCCAGGTGCCCTCTAGGGTGGACCACTTCCGAGTTCATCCACTGTCAGGAAAAGGCACATGGCATGCAACCGCAGGACCGATGACTAGATGTCAGAGCTGGCTCCCGGTTGGGATATGAGTGACTTTGTGGAGGATGGCGCCTAAATGAGGCATGCCAATTTCCGCACCCGGGTGACGAATATAGGGGCTCCTAAAAGGCTAGCCCAATGTATCTGTATTTCCTTGGGGATTAAACCCCATGATCTTCAGTTCCTCAGAGAACTGAAAGTTGCAACGAGAAATCCAGTAATTCCTGTTATCTGCAGGCTTTATAAGTCAGTGGAGCCTGCGGAGGTGGCCAGAATCCGGCACTGCAAGCGCTGCTGTCTTCTCACGGAGTCTTGAAGCCAGAGCAGCGCCAGGATGTCACAGGAGCTGGCCCCACTGCTGCTTCTACTCCTCTCCATCCACAGTGCCCTGGCCCTGAGGATCTGCTCCTTCAACGTCAGGTCCTTTGGGGAAAGCAAGCAGGAAGACCAGAATGCAATGGATGTCATTGTGAAGGTAAGCCCCTTTCCTGGGAGGAGGATCCCAGACACCCCTCACACCCTCTCTCCTGTCTTCAGACTTTAAGAGACTCAACGTACTTAACATTGGCCCTTAGGGGGAATGTAGAAGCTGGCTTGGAACAATAACCACTTCAACTCTCTGTGCCTCCTGCCATCATCTTAAAACAGGGGCTCTCTCCAGGATCGCTGAGGGGACTATAGGAGTTGGTAAATAGAAAGCTCTTAACGTAGTATCTGGCTCATTATAGGTTCCACATAAGGGTTGGCTATTATGATTTTTATTGCTATTTATTGAATGCCTGTATCAGGCACTATAAGCACATGGTTTCATTTCATCATCTTTATGAAGAGGGACTATTACTCCCCATGCAGAGGTGATGAACAAAGAAAGATGAAGTAATCTTATACAGCTACTCCTTTTCACCAGCAAAGCCCAGCTCCTTTCTCTCTCTTTTCTTTTCTGTCTTTTCTTTCTTTCTTTCTTTCTTTCTTTCTTTCTTTCTTTCTTTCTTTCTTTCTTTCTTTCTTTCTTTCTTTCTTTCTTTCTTTCTTTTTCTTTCTTTCTTTCTTTCTTTCTCTCTCTCTCTCTCTCTCTCTCTCTTTCTTTTTTTCTTTCTTCCTTCCTTCCTTCTTTCTTTTTCTTTTCTTCTTCCTTTCTTTTTCTTTCTCTTTCTTTCTTTCCCTTCCTTGCTTTTTTCCTTCCTTCCTTCTCTCTCATCCTCACCATCCCTCCCTCTCTTTCTCTTTCTTCCTTCTTCTCCTCCTTCCTTCCTCTTTCCCCCTCCTCTACTCCCCCGTTCCTTCCACCTTCACTTAAGCTTTCCTTGGGTGATGTATCCAGTGTCTTGGGGACACTGCTCGCTTTCTCTGGAGTCAGTTGACTCCGTTTATCTTACAGGGTAATTTATTTTTGATGCTGGCAACTTAACCCTTTCCCAGGACTCTGGAAAGGTACTTATTACCTTAGGAAACCTGAGGCACCATGGTGTGGTAGGGGGGCCAGGAGCCCTGGGTTCAGATCCCACCTACCAGACTTGTGAGCTTCAGGAGGCCCTGCACCTCCCTGAACCACCAGCTATTCTCAGCAAAACGGTGACCACGCCCGAATACCACCTGTAGCGCTAGCTGGGGAAGAGAACTCAGGGTGCCTGAGGCGCCCAGCAGAGCCTGCAACAAGGCGGGTATTCATGAGCCAGAGCCGCTGCTGTTGCTCTCATTGGGAAGGAGGATTGGAGTGAGGACTGGCAGGCTCTGTTCTTACTTGGATGAGCCTCTCAGACCCGGGTGGCCCTGCCCTTTGGGAGGTACACAAGGCCTTCTAGATGGTGTTGTTTAGCCAGGATAGCAATGCCAAGCCTGTGGGAACCATGACAAGATTGTTCAGTGGGAAACCCTGACATGTAAGGAAATGATTTTCCCCACTTCACACATGGCCCGTGGAACCTGGGTAGCCACTGAGTTCCCATCTCCTTCCTCACTGATGCAACCCGGCTGTCTTTTTGTTCCTTAGTGAGTCCATCATGGGGGCTTGAACTCTGCATCTCCCCTGAGCAGCTCTGTCCTGCAGGGCGTGTCCGAAGTCCTTGTCAAGGCTGCCTCACCCTCCCCATCCTACCAACAGGCCATCCCCAAAACACTGCAAGAGCCACCCAACAGCACACTCACAGTCACCCGAGAATGCCAGGCACTCAGAATAGGATTATTTCTAGCACCCATTGACTAAGCACCTCCTATAGGCCAGGAATTCTATATTCAGATTTAATACTGTGACTTAGGTGGTGTCGCCCCCATTTCATAACTGAGTAAATGGAGGCTGAGAGTGGCCCCTTATCTAGATTTCCATAGCCAGTAAGGGGAAGAGTTGGGGTCAAACACACCCCTGCAGCCCAGCCATAGAAGCTGAGATGCCTTCTCCACTCTTCCGTCCAGATTTATCGCTTCAGAGACTCAGCGGCATCATGCTGCCGTCATCCTGACCTGCACTGGGGAGGCTGGAGAGTGAGGGAGGCCTGCCTTCTCCATCTTGGGTTGGCCCCCGCATATCATGGGCAGCTGTCCAGATGCCAACCCCTCCCTGGCTGAGTGTCCCCTGTTTGTGCGTTTTCCAGGGTGTCCTTAAAGAACAGAGCTTGTTCATCCAGCAAATGCTCAGTGAAGCTAGACCTTGCATCAGACACACCAGGGCACTGAGGATGTAGCAGTGGCTGTGGGAGGCATTGCCTCCCTCTTCACAGAGCTTACAGCAGAGGGCAATGGTTATTTCAGGAGTACATGCTATGTGCCAAGCCCTTAATGTGCAGTATCTAATTCAGCCGCACAGCCACTCTGATTATTGTGCCCATTTTGCAGAGGAGGCAATGGAACTCAGAGGTGAAGTGAGTTGCCCAAATAGCTGTGGAGCACATAAGTGGCAGAGGGAGGGCTGGAGCCCAGGCTCTTCCCACCATGCTGAGCTGCTCCCTCTTTAGAGGCATGACATAGGGTTTCACAAGCCACCCTCTGGCCCAGATCTGTCTTTCTTTCTTTTCTTTTCTTCTCTTTCTTTTTAATTTTCTTTCTTTCTTTCTTTTTTTCTTCCTTCCTTCCTTTCCTTCTCTCTCTCTCTCTCTCCTTCCTTCCTTCCATCCATCCTTCCTTCCTTCCTCCCTTCCTTCCTCTCTTTCCCTCTTCCTCTCTTCCTTCCTTTTTTTTTTTTTTTTTTTTTGGACAGGTTCTTGGTCTGTTGCCCAGACTGGAGTGCAGTGGTGCAACCACAGCTCACTACAGCCTTGACCCCCTAGGCTCAAACAATTCTCCCATCTCAGCCTCCTGAGTAGCTGCAACTACAGGTGCACACCACCATGCTGGCTAATTAAAAAAAAATTGTAGAGATGGGGTCTCGCTATGTTACCCAGGCTGGTCTCAAAGTCCTGAGCTCAATATCCTCCTGCCTCAGCCTGCCAAAGCACTGGGCTTACAGGCATGAGCCACCATGCCCAGCCTGTCCCAGATATTTCAAGACCCCTCCAGACCATCTCTTCCCCTCTCCCCAGGCCCACTTATAACACACGTTGCTTGGATTCTGTCAACACTAGGCATGCACAACCCAGAAATTCCTCTTCCCCTCCTGTGAACAGAGTCAGGAATTTGGCCTTAGGGAGATATCGGTGTTTCAGGTCTCGGCTCTGGAAGGTTTCCTCCCTGGGACTCTCATCCTGGGAGCCTCCTCTTGAGAAGATGGAGCCAGGGCAAGTATATTTTTCCTGGTCTGAAATTTGAGCAGGGAGACCATGTGTCAAGAGGGATTAGAAAATGGAGTATTTGGCCGGGCACAGTGGCTCATGCCTGTAATCCCAACACTTTAGGAGGCCGAGGAGGATGGATCACCTGAGGTCAGGAGTTCGAGACCAGCCTGACCAGCATGGAAAAACGCTGTCTCTACCAAAAATACAAAAATTAGCTGGGCGTGGTGGTGCGGGCTCCTGTAGTCTCAGCTACTCAGGAGCCTGAGGCAGGAAAATTGCTTGAACCCAGGAGGCGGAGGTTGCAGTGAACTGAGATAGCACCACTGTACTCCAGCCTGGCCACAAAGCAAGACTCCATCTCAAAAATAAATAAATAAACACATATAGTGGTCAAGAAGGTGCTCTGTAGTGTAGATAACTTGTTGTCCTGTATTCACTCTGTGTTCAAATTATTAAACCTCATGGAGCCTCAGAGTACCCAACTACACTAGCACTGAAGACCAGCATCAAAGAGTTATCATGAAACTGATTAATTGCTGGACGCGGTGGCTCACAGCTGTAATCTCAGCACTTTGGGAGGCCAAGGCGGCAGATCACCTGAGGTCAGGAGTTCGAGACCAGCTGACCAACACGGTGAAACCCTGTCTCTACTAAAATACAAAAATCAGCTGGGCATAATGGCAGGTGCCTGTAATCCCAGCTACTCAGGAGGCTGAAGCAGGAGATTCGCTTGAATCCAGGAGGCGGAGGTTGAACCCCGTGAGCCGAGATTGCGCCACTGTGCTCCAGCCTGGGTGACAAGAGTGAGACTCTGTGACTCTGTCTCAAAAAAAAAAAAAAATTGATGAGTCAATGATAAGAGGTAACTCTTATGAAGCCTTTCCTATGTTCCAGGCACTGTATTAAGCATGTTATATAAGACAACTTGTTTAACTTATATTAAATAAGTTAGTTAGAAATGCACCTGTCATGTCCTGATAAATTTTGGCCATTACCTCCCACAATTTCTTCCCCATTGAGCAGTTTTATTTTTTAAATAAGACTTCCATTTTAATTATAAAGGTCTAATTTTAAAATTATATTTTGTATAAATTAAACAATGATTTTTAAAATGAAAATAGTCATTAAAGATGATTTTTAAAATACAGAAACCTGTAAAGAAGAAAAGAAATCATTCATTACCCTGCCACTTGAAGGTAATTGTTGTTGGCATTTGGGTAATTTTCTTACAGGCATATGTAAGTCCGCATGGGTTTCGCAGCAGGGACACCATCCTGTGTCATCAGTTTTGTATTCTGCTTTATATTATATTTCCCATGATGTTCATATTCTTTTAAAACATGCCTTTAATGCTATATAATGCCTTATCCTGTGTTTGCAACCTAATTCATTGAATGATTTTCTGTTTGGCAATACCTAGGTTGTGTCCAATTTTTTGTTGCAATACATCTTTCTCTTTGATCTGTACAGGTAATAATGATTTGTTTCATGCCTCCTACATGGCTGGCACTATTCTAAGTACCCACTTAATCCTCTAGCAACCCCATGAGGGATTGATATTTTCATCCCAATTTATACATGAGGAACCTGAGGTGCAGAGAAATTGTGGATATTTCCTTACAATGAGAGACATTCTTTTTTTTTTTTTTTTTTTTTTTTTTGAGTTGGAGTCTCACTCTGTCACCGTCACAGTTACACAACCTTAAATTAATGCACCTTCCTCCCCAAACTCTGGCTGGTTGGGGAACGCGGCAATGGAGCATTGCATATG